TTGAGCCACGAACTGGATGCCATACAGTACAGTCTGGCAAAGCTTGCTGGGAATCCCATGGACAAGAAAAACACAGAAAAATTCATGTTCACCAAAGAAGAGTTGGAGTGCACCCTTTTCAGGGCAGCTTTCCTTATGGCATGACAGTTGTGTGCGCTTCTCAGGCACTGGCCTTTTCTGAAGGTCCTGTGCCTGCTAAACTAGCACTACCTTTTCTGTTCTGCATTCCTTTCTGTTTTAGGTTTGCCCACTGCTTTGCCTTCTTTTTCTATTTAGCCCCTTAGCCAGGCTTCCGCACCAGTGCAGACTCCGTACTCTTTCTTGATCTCTGATCCTATCATCAGAGTCTCCAGGTCCCTCCAAATCCATCCATCCAACACTAGTGTTCAGTGCAGTCCCTCAGTCAGCCTACCTCACTGGAGTTTTCCTTGCCTATTTTGATTCTGAGCCATGAAGAAACTGGTAAGTATTGCTCGCTTCTAATCTGCTGTTTTGGATCCATCTAAAACTCTTTTTAATGAGTATTTGCTTGCTATTTTTGTAACTCTTCTATGACTTCCTCTTGGTTTTCTTGTTTTTACTGCTAACACACACCCTTGAGTAAGTCTTTCATTAAGAATTAATGAATAACCCCTGCCACAATCAGTAACATTCTGCTATGTTTGTGGATGGGAGTTAGCTTAGCTGTCCTCTGAGAGGCTCTACCCAGCAGCTAATGGAAACAGACACAGAGACCCACAACCAAACATTGGGTAGAGCATAGGAAGTCTTGTGGAAGAGTGGGGGAAAGGATAGAAGGACCCGAGGGGACAGGAGTCCCTCAAGAAGACCAACAAAACCAACTAACAGGGACTCAGGGTGGGGAGCTGTGGAGACTGAAGCACCAACCAAGGACCATGCATAGACTGGAACTTAGCCCCCTACATAGATGTAGCCCATGGGCATCTCAGGCTTTCTGTGGGTCCCTTAGGAAAGGGAATGGGAGCCGACTCTTACATGGACTCTGTTGCCTGCTTTTCAATCACTTTCCTCTGGTGGGACTGCCTCGCCAGGCCACTGGGGAAGAGGATATGCCCAGTCCTGATGCTACTTGATATGCTGGAGTGGGTGGTTGGGTAGAGTCTTTCCTTCTCTGAGGAGCAGAGGAGGGGGGATAGGGGAAAGAGGGTGGTAGGGTGGGACCTAGAGGAGAGGAGGGAAAGGACGATAACGCGGATGTAAAATGAATAAGTAAAAATTAAAAGAAAAAATATTTAATGAATAGTAAATTCCTAAGTCCTTATGCATGGGCACGTAAGCCTAAGCTGGGTGTCCATCTCAATGCCATGCATAAACTCTAGGTTGAAAGGAAGTTTCTCTTGGGGACTGAGTCTTGGAGGTGAATGTGTTTTAAGCCATGGTTTGGACATGAGAATTAATATTCGTGAGTCACAAGTAGACAAGTTAAGAGACCTGGTTCTTATTCATGATATTATGGTTCTCATTCATGTCAGACTGGTGTCTCAGAATTCCATATAAATCACACATTTTCAGCCCCCTATTTACCACCATACACAGAGTACCTGTTTATTTCTTGCTGGTTTTCCTGGTCTCCCAGATCTCCTTTCAATCCTAACTTCAAGGGTTATGACCTTTTCAGTTCCACTCATCACTCTATGAGCCTGCTGTTTCTGGTCCCAAAGTGTTTTTCTGTTTCACTTGTGATATCATCTAGTGTTTCTAAATGATAACATCATTCTGTTAGTGTTTCTAAATGATGACATTCATTCTCCCTATGTGTTAGAGGAAAGGGTGGAGGATAGAATGAGCTAGCCTTGTCTATGAGGTAAGTTCAAGCTGTCATTCTGGCCTGAAATTATTTCCCATTAATCAATCATGGAAAAGAATACTCCATTTCTTCTTTTTAAAAACTTACCACTTAGCCAGGTGTAGTAGTGCACGCCATTAATTCCAGCACTCAAAGAGGTAGAGGCAGGTGTATCTCGGTGAGTTCGAGGCCAGCCTGGTCTACGAAGTGAGTACAGGACAGCCAGGGCTACCAGAGAAACCCTGTCTTGGAAAACAAAAACAAACAAACAAACAAAAAACCTTACTGCTTGCATTTGAAAAGAGAATCACAAGTGACCAATGGCCGTATGAACACATGTTTCCTTTATATGTATTCAAAAGAACCTAAAATGAATGCTCAAAATTAGCCATTTTAATGTATCAAACTGAAAGATTTCGATACCTTGTTTAAGTCTTAGAGACAACGAAAAAAAGGGAAGGATTAAGTTCTCTGTCCACAGAGAGTAGGAGACCAGATTTAACTTTGGCCATGAATAGTGAGAGAAAAGTTTTAGCAAAGTAATGGGTTCAAGTCTTGGAAAGAGCGAGAACTGCATCTAGCTTGAAACACACACACACACACACACACACACACACACACACAGGACTGTAGCGTTCTTAAAAAGCTATTGTGATCCAGAATTATCACCCTTTCCTCAAAAAAAAAAAAAAGAACTCTCATCCCTGGCTGAGCAAGGAAAGTGAGTGGCATCACAATTTTGAAACTAAACAAAAGCCCTGAACCAGGCCTGTCCTTTAACCCACATGTAAAAGCATATATTTAGAACTGATCATGAATATGCCACATATTTACCCTTGATGACAGCTGCCATTTCATCATCTATAAAACTTTATAACAACAAACAAAAATAAGCTCCCATCCTCCCACAAAACCTCAAAAAAAAAAAAAAAGCTGTGAACAGCAACAAAGGGAAATGATGAAACACTGAGAAATGCATAATACCTTCATACAAGGGGCTGAGGCACTTTGAATGCAGAAAAAAAAAACAACTCAGTAATAAGGAATGATGAGCAAGAAGTGGGAGGAATGAGGAACAGGATTAAACACATCTCAGTTTCACACATCCCCCGCCCCATGCATTCATTCAAGACTCGGCAGCTTGGGCTATACACTATGGTGCGTGCTCAGGAGGGTCAAGTGTGGTGAGGCTCTTGTTTGATCTTCCTTCCTCTTATATATTCACTCTGTTTACCCCAGCACTGCCAGACTACTGGCAACTTATTGTCCTCTGACTCAGTCACTTAGATTAGAAGTTTCTGGAAATGGTATGGAGAGAAGCTATCCCATCTCTGCATGGCCCCAGTTGCTCCCCATAGGGAGCTCCATTTGGAGCAGGCCTGTTCTTCTCCCCAAAGCCCAGACTTTTTTTGTCTGAGTCCTGGACCCCACGCAGAGAGGACCTTTTTTTTTTTTTTTTTTTTTTTTTAACCTTTGCTATACCACCATCTTCCAGCCCACCTTTTTATTCCTGCATAGACAGGGGTTTAGGAAATGTGCTTCTGCTTCATGATCAATTTTATACCCCTACCCCGTCTGAGGACACAAGACAATGGTTCAGTCCTGTGCTGAGATTTAGAATGCAAAGTGTGTAACATGGTGCCAATGGCCGGCAAGATCTCCTCGGATGTCAGTTTTTATCACTTGGTTCCGTCTCCTCCTAGTAACAAGGCTGCCCCGTGACCTGATGACTTGAAGGTTACTTAACAAACTCATGCAAAGTTGTGTGTGGCATGCTCTGCTGTAGCAAGGATCATGCAGAACTAAGGAGAGCCTGACTCAGGCTTTCCTGGGCACCACCTAACACCATTGCAGCCCGAGCCTGCCTGACTCCTCTGTAGCAAGCACTAGGTAATGGCCTTCTTTCATAATCATGCCTGGGATCCTGGCTCTGGGTTGGGTATTTCCCTTCTTGGTTTGCTGGGCCATGCGAGCTGAGAGTGCTAGGACCATTGACAACCTGAGAAGGTAAGCAGGCTGAAAAGAGGAGAACTCAGGGACTTGGGTCTATGTATCTGGCAGATGCTACATGGTCCCACATGTAGTGTTGCTAGGAGTGCTGTCTGTCCTTATTATGGCTCTCTGACCCCTTGGAAGTCCCTAAAATCAGGCTATGCTCCTCAGCAGGAGCATGGTATGTGGTGTACGGCATAGCATATAGTAGATACCCTCCCATATGCTCCAGTCTCTTCCTCTCAGGCTTCTGGCCTCTTCTGGACACCAGACAGATATCAGCCTTGAGCTCCCCCTCCTGCCTCCTATCTTCCTCCCTAATCCTGCCCTCCTCTTGAGCCTTACTCCCTCTCTTAATCCTCCCCTATGTTCTCCAACTTTTTTTTTAATCAGGGAGACTTTCAAGACATGGTTTCTTTGTGTAGTCCATGCTGGCCTTGAACTCAAGAAATCTGTCTCTCTCTCTCTCTCTCTCTCTCTCTCTCTCTCTCTCACTCTCTTGCTTTTTTGCCAAGACAGGGTTTCTCTGTGCAGCCCTGGATGTCCTGGACTTGCTTTGTAGACCAGGCTGATAGAGTTCCGCCTGCCTCTGCCTCTTGAGTGCTGGGATTAAAAGCATGCACCACCACCGCCAATCTTTCCCAACTTCATCTCATCTAGTTATTTTGACTGCCTGCCAACCACCTTCTTAACTCAACCCTAGCAGTTTCTTGGTTTTTACTGGGTAATGTTACTCTGAGTGGACAAACTTCAGATCCTTCCCAAGACTAAGAGAAAACAGGCACAAAGCAAGAATGCTTATGGGTGGTTTATCTTTTCAGAAGTCTCTGAGCTGCACAGTGGCCTCAGCAGAAGACCGTAATCAGACTTCTTTTACTTGTGAAGTTCAACTTCAATTAATCATTTGTTGTTGTTGTTGTTGTTAGTCTCTAGAAGCAAAGACAAGACCTATGCTTCTTGACCAACTGGAACATTCTGGAGCTGCTCAACTATTGCCCATTTAGTGTGTATGGGGGGGTAGAGACGGGGAAAGCAGAGCGTGGTGGTCTTGTCAAGGGTGATCTGGAAGGAGGTTCTGAAGAAGGAAAGGTTTCCCTTCCCAGCTCTTGAATGGCCCTCTTGACTTTGAGCTTGCTGTCCTATGCCCACCTACTTCCCCACCCAAGGTACAATATGGCACCAAGCAGAAAAAGGAGGCATCCAGGCAGTGTTCAATGTATAGAACTCAAGGATTTTCTTTTAACTTTGGGAGACAACAACATGTGACAACATCAGAAACTGCATCTCTGAGCAGACAGTGCTGGCTATGTAGAGTTCATCACATATGGCAATGTAAGGTCATCCGGGTTAAGTCTCTGAATTGACTGAAGCTCTGCTGCCTGCAATACAGACTGCAAATAGAGCAGTCTTGCTTCACAAGCCTATCTTGAAGCAAGGGCAGAGGTACAAAAGTAATCAAGGGGCCAGGGAAAACAAGTTCACAGACTACTCAGAGCCATCATGGGAGTGGAACACAAAGCAGGGTCTTAGTTCTGTTCCTCTCCTGGCTGACACCACTGGGCCTAGAGTCCAGTACAATGTCAGTACCTCTGACCTTACACCATAGTCCATGCCTGGGCATGGGCAAGAAGTATCCCTGTAGTAAGAGGTCTAAGAGAAAGGGACATCAGACTCATTTATCTGAGTAGACCAAGGTCCTCCCTGTATAGAAACAGCAGGACCCCTGTAAAGCTCCTCCTCGGTGGTACCATCCCCAACACAAACACATTCACATATACATATTCATATATACAGACTATTTAGTGAAACTTGGCAGCAGCAAGAATGTCATCAGTCATGGCCTGTGGGGGAACAGTAGAAGGGAATACAGTAGCCACCAGAAAGTGGGGGGGAGATGGAGATCATCATCCAGTTCTTGACTCTTGACAGGCACCCAGGCCAGTCTGTCCCTGGGGCTTCCCAGCATGTTGAAGGTTTCCATCTCAAGGACTGGATACATCTGCCTTGAGCTGCCAGCACCACAGGAGCTGAGGAAAATAGGAAATGAGTGTCCCTTGGGTCATTTTTGGCCATTCACAGACCCTACCCAGAACTGTCTGGACTGTTCTCAGCCCATCTGGATTTCCCCATTTGATTCCAGGGATGGGCACCCAAGCCTGGGGATACAGACATGGGGTCAGAGCAATGATCTCAGCCTCTTCACTCTCTTGGTGGCATTCTGACCAATGAGCCACAACGCCATCATTACCCATATCCTTACCACCAAATTGAGAGGTCTGCACCACAGAACTGCTCAGGAGCCCATGGCCAATCTCTACTGAAGTGGGAGGTTTGTTTCTTCTGGGAGCACTTGGCTTTCCAGGAGGATGAGACTCCCTTCTCTGCCTCCCACCACAGTGATTCCTATCTTCAACATGACCTTCTAAAACACTGCAAAGAAAGGCAGATTCCCAGCTCCCCTTCCCATGGTTTCTTCTTTCTCCCTAAGTCCCATGATAGCTCTCTATTCCCTCCCAACCCCAATGTCCTGCCAGGTCATGAAGAAACTGCAGAGGGGTGGGAGAATGGGGGTCCAGGACAGGCTGAGCTCCCCACTCTTTTTCGTGTGTAACAGGGCAAATCCCAGGCCCTTCCTTGAGCCCCATCGAGTTCATGAGTTTGGAGAACACTTCTCCCTTACGGTGTTGCTAGAAGGTAACAGTGCCCAAGGTACACTGGCATCTTTTTTTATGCAGGGACTAGGAGACCTGAGCCACCCCACGGGTCTGACACCCACCAGAAAGGCCCTTCCTCTTCTAGGCAGCTCTTCACTCAGCCTCTCCCCGGGCTGCTACAGGGACAGTGGAACCTCTAGGTGGAAATCTGACTTGAAATGGTCAGAGAAGGAGGGAGCCACTACCTAGAAGACCAAGGCCTGAAAAAGAAAGGGGGAGACTCCAGAGTTGGCCTCCTGTGCACGCCCCTTCTCTACCCTATTGTGAGAGTAGCTGCCTGCTCTTGGAGTCCTTCCCACTTCTGAGGATGCATGGCACACAGCAGCCAGGCTGCTCATGGCTGGGATATGGGCTTCTGGATCTAGGGAGGGTCATCACAGGTGCTGCAGGGACGGTGGAGAAGCAGCCTGTGGGGAAAAGAGATGGCTAGACCCAAATACTTCCTGCTCTTCCCTGTCTGCAGATGCACAGCCTCAGAAAGGCCCTCAGACCGGGTTAGGGCAGAAGAGGGAGAAACAGGCAGAGGCCCGTCGCCTGCCCCATCCCCACAGCCCTGGAGGCAGTTTGGAGAAGGTCTGTGCACAGCTGCTGCAGAGAGTAATCTTGGGCCTCCCAGTCAATAAGGGGACAGACCTGGGATTATTTCAGAAAGGAACTGCCAATTTTACCTGCCCACCTCAAACAGTTAGAGACCAATGGATAAATATTTACTTGTCTAGGACCTTCCTGGGAGCTCACTGGCCCAATCCTCACCCAGACAAGGTTCAGGTGACATCTCAGGAGGCCTCTGCAGAAAAGGGACTGGAGGCCTGGAAGGTGAGCAGAGGGGCTCCGTGTCTGTGTGTTGGTGATGAGCTGACCCTCCAAGATGCCATGGCTGCCCAAAACCCTATCACTGAATCACAGTACCAGAAAACATGGCAGAGCCTCGCCTACTTTTCAGTTTCCCAGCTTTGGCTAAGCAGCAGGTGTCCCAGACTGTATTCCCTATTCCCACAAACCAGTCCTCTGGGTATTCAGAGGCCTTGGACACATACCCGCCAGCTCCCATTCCAACCTGTCGCAGCCTACCTTCAGGCACACGGCCTGGTAAATCAAGTGCTGTGGTAGCATCCCTTCTTTTAGGTTCTCCCTCTTTCGGCCAATGGGAGGCAACAGGTTTGCCAAACTCTGGTGATTCTCTGGATGCGGATGAAAAGGACTGGGCTGTGAAGGGTTTTGCGGTATGGGATGCCGTTCCTTGGGTCCTGCGCAGAGACCTAAAATGGAGGGGCCTGGGCCGTGCCACCTGCGTCCCCCAGCCCGCCACAGTTGCGGGGCACTGCGCGGCACTGCGCGGCACCACCGTCCTTCCTGCAGCTGCCGGGCGCGGATGGCGAGGATGGCACTCTCCACCCGAGGGGCCGCTGCGGTGGCGGGTCTGCTCACTCGATCCGCACCTGCAGGCGGACGTTGAGCATCACCGAGGCCACCATGTAGAAGTAGGGGAAGTTCACGCGCAGCCGCCAGGCCAGGTCGAAGAAGGTGAGCAGTGTGCGTGTGAGCCCCTTGCAGAAGGCGCTGTAGGAGCCATGTGTCGCCGCCCAACGCGACAGTCGCAACACCAGGCCAGACAGGGCCGCCGCGGCTGCAGCAGCTGACAGGGCCGCAGTCACCGCCATTGGTCTGGCTCGCCCGCTCACCTGCTGCAGAGCCAGCTCAGTGCGCCGCGTAGCGCCAACCCGAACCACCCGCAGCTCTGCCCTCAGGATCCCAGCTCTCTGCAGCTTCTCTTGCTCCACCCCCAACACCGCTGCCTTTGTAGCTCTCCGCCCTCCTACTGGACCTGCGGCTGCTCAGCTCCGCCCCCTACTCCGCAGGATCCTGGAAGAAACCCTGCTGTAATTCAGAAGCATTATCTCAACCAGGGTCCAGCTGCGGCAGAGTGGCAACAGTGCTAGGGCCAGACTTGCTTCACTCCACTGACACAGTCCCATGGATGAGAACTTCACCACCCAAATGCTTGTCCTACCTGTCCAGTTTGTTATTCTTTCTACTGCATACAAATACTGAATGGTGTGAAAGGCGTGCTCCAGAATCAGAAGGGGGGTGGGGGTTAGCGGTTAGCTCCTGTGGACTACTTTTGCTAATTCTGTAGAAAACCATTTCCAGAAATTCTCTCCTATGGAGGTTAACACCCTTCTTCCAGGAAGCCAGGCCAAGGAACTCACTGTAACTTTCTTTATTCTCAGAGTGCACTTAGCTTCCCACACAGTGCCATCAAATCAATGATGCATCTTGTTCCTTTTCTGTTGTATTCGATGGTCGCCTTTTCTGGTTAACATCTAATCTTTATATCAACAGGTTCAACCAAATCCAACCCAAAGCCAGATAGTCTCTGGTGATACAAGGCAGGGTTCAGTCACAGAGGCAAATTTGAGGGCAAACCAGCCAAGATTCCTCAGCCTCCATGCTTAGCAGGTTAGGTACAGTAAGTGCATTTTCCTCTTAGTATATTTTCTAATTCCAATTGATTTATCTGTGCCGATTGTCCCAAGTCACAAACAGAATCTGTCTTTGCTCATTAGGATGTTTTGCTTTTATTGAAATTTGTATAATTTGGCATTGAGATCCTTTATACATTTGTTAAAGTAATCTAAAATATTAATTTTATTGAAGGTATTAGAAATGATTTTGAACTTTTGATCTCAGTTTCCATATGTTTGCTTATTATTACTATATATAGATATAGATATAGATATAGATATACCATTGTGTGCATGTATATGGACATGCAAATGTATGTATTCCTTTGTGGATACATAGGCATGTGTAAAATGTTCCTGTATGCAGACAAGAGGACAACCCAAGGAATGCCAGCCACTTTGTTTTTTTGGACAGTCTCTAAATGTCCAGGGGCCCTCTAAGTAGACCAGAAGGCCAGCTAGTCCCAGGGATCTGTCTGTCTCTGCCATTCCAAGGACTGGAATTAAAAACATGTGCCACTGCCAGGTATGATGGCATATACCTTTGATCCCAAGCACTCAGGAGGAAGGGGCAGGCATACCTCTTCAAGTGTGAGGCTAGCCTGGTCTCCATAATAAGACCCAGGCCAGTCATGCCTAAATGGTGGAACAAAAACAAAACAAACAAAACACACACACACACACACACACACACA